TGGAGTCACTGTAACTATGTAGTTCCCCTCTGTCAGTGATAGACTTGGATTGCGTTAACTATTCAGACATAGGGATAGTCAAGGAGTGGGTTATGGAAAATGTTTTTTTTAGGCAGGTAAGTAAAACAACCACAGAAGTTTTTCTGAAGCTAAAGACTGTATTAGTAATGACAGACATTTTCCTTCTCCTCTTAGGAGCCTGAATTCTAGTAATATTTCTTCCATATTTTACAGCTATGCAATGAGTAGAGAATTTTGCCATCAGTACACTGTGAAAAAGGCTGCACAATACATTTATATGAAGATACGATATCCTTGGAGTATAGCTTAAGTGAAGCTGCATGCAGAGGGGATCAGAGAGGTGAGAAGTACTTTTTTTGGCCATATTAAAGTCAATATAAACACTGTGTGTGCTGGTGTTGTAAATATATATATGAAAACAATAGAAGATTGGGGTAGATCTCTGAACAAACCCAAAATAAACCATCACCTGTGCTTATGTATTATGGATGCATTCTTAAGACCATTGCTCTGTGGCACCAGACAGTACTGTAGACATCAAATGAAGTTATGAATTCTATTCATATTCTAAATTTCTTTTACAGTGTTGGAAGATGACATTCACCGCTTCATCTTATGGCAACTTTAAGATGTAATCATGCAGTCAACCTATCCTTCAGGTAAGCATACAGCTCACAGAAAAGAGGGACTGAAGAGCTGAGTAACACTTTCAAAATGAAACTGAGAGCTTTCAAGATTTGTTTTGCATGTTTTCAGGTTTTCTTATAAACTTTCACCTTAAAATATTTCACTATGTGTACTGAGATAACTTATACCTGCAGGACAGTGTGTGGTTTGGGACAGAAATCAGCTAAGTTTAAGTGGTTAAAACTTGCTTTTTCTGGTTTGCTTCTGTTTGAAGCAAATCTTGCTTTGCTTTTCTTTTTCTATTTTCCTTCTGTTATGATACTGACTGTTCGGAATACTCAGAAGCCTCTAGATAAAAGACACTGCAGCATGGCAGACTATGGTTGACTGATGCTTATTTCGTTATGTTCAACTAGTGGCTTTGCCACAGACCTTTCAAGTGATCTTGCTCAATTAAATTAAGCCCTGTGTCAAATGAAAATACCGGAGATTACTTCTGTTTTCTCTTTGCTGTCTACATAGCCTGTTGGGTATTTGATTGTAATATAGTGGTTGTCACATATACAACAATGGCAAAATGAAGCCCTGATCTTGAATGGGGCCTGTAAACAACACTGCAACATAAGAGAGTTAATAGTTTGACATGGTGATGCTAGACCTTGGTGTGTATATTTTAAGTGAGGGGACACCTGGTCCTCTGTAGTCTGAGATATCCCCGAGTCAAGGAGTTTTAGTCAAATTGGTCAGGTGAGATCTGCTCCTTTTGTATCAGGCCCATTTTCTCCAGGCACTATATAAGCAGTATCTTGAGAATTTATGGGCATCAGAAACTGTCTTGAAGAAGATTTTTTTGTATAAAGGAAATCTCTACTTTATTAATGCTGCTGGTGAAGGCCTGCCTGCAGCAGTAGCTCTGCCATCCTCTACTCTGAAGTGCCTTTCCTCCCCTTCTGCTGCTTTCCCAGCCACCCATTGACGGGATTGGACGGGATGGAGAGCAGGAAGGGTTGCTGCAGAAAGGGGAGGCATGGTAGCATCAAACTGACATTCTTTATATAAAATTAAAATCAAGTGCTGTTATTTAAAGATACCCTCCTGCCAGGTGTAGATTAGCCCAGGACTGAGCTGCTGAGAGTGTTGGGGACAATTTAAAAATTTAATTCAAACATACCCAGAATTTAAATTCAAACCATCTTCGCTTTGCCTGCAAATGACCATAGCATCATTGGCAGCAGCTGTGCAGCCTGTGGGCAAAGTTCTGCTGTTTGCATGTCCGTGCCAGGAAAGCGCTCCTTAGCCTGAGAGGAGGCACTGGCCCGTGGCTGTGCAGAGCTCTCCATAGAGCCCCGTTGGCCCTGTGTGTATGGACCGAGAACAGCTGTGAACTGCTGACTCAGTGCATGAGAGGGCTATAGAGAGATAGTCATATGTGGAACTATTTCATACTCATCACTGTTTTGTGAAGTGTTTAATCATTCCACCACTCATAACATATGGAATTAATAACTTCATGTGATGTCCTTCACACCTGAGCAGCTAAACACGCTTTTTTTGGAATAATGTGTTAGATATACATCATATGACCTTATATCACCTAGACACTGTCACACTGAAGCTTTACAGTTAAAAATTACAAGAAATATCTTGGACAACTCAGGCATTATTTTAGAAACGTTAGGCACCCATTCTGTGTTCCTAATACAATGTTAACTGGTTGTTTACACTTAGGTGCTGTTAACCAATCCAAGTATTTTACAGTGTGGGAAACATTCACTGCTTGCAAGTCTTTGTTTTCAGATAATGTGCAGGTTATAGTTTCAGGAACAAGTCAGTGCCTACAAATGCTTCATATTACATAACTGAACCTCAACATCCAAGGCAATGCAGATCTTGTTTTAACAGTTCAGTTCTGATCTCACTTATTATTTTTTAGTTTTCTCTTGCACACATATAGATCTTTCCCTATTAGGAACCTAGGAGATGCAGGCAATATTTTTTGCTGCTAGTGGTGCATAATAATTATCAGAAACAGAACTCCAGCAACGATGTTACCGAGTCCATTTTGTTAGCTGAAGTATAAGTGTGCTTTTTTGCTTCTTAAAATATATATGCTTGTATACGTATATAAAAATAGTCTCTCTTAATTATTGCAGAAATAGATAAGTTGCTGTTACTATCAATACTTCATGGATATTGTGGTAACAGCTGATTTTAGAGCACTGATGGTGGCAAAACAGTTCCACATTGAACCAAAATTACACGTATTCTCAGGATACCAGTGTGGAATTGCACTGAACTCTTAGAGTTCTTAGCCCTCTAGTTCCCAGAGAGGACCAGGGTAGGTAATGGAAGGAACTTTATAAAGCAAGGGATTTCTGAGAAGAATAATAGCTGACTGCTGAAGTACTCAAGAGTCTGGCATCTCTTGCACATTACAAGTGGGTAGTTGGCATATTGCTCACAGTAGGAGACACGCAGTATTGTTTGTGCCCTAATCTACTTATGAGGAAGTTTGCTGCTTGGACATGAGTCGTGATAAGCATTTGCAACCTGAGGGGAATGGATGATAAAACCATACACTTATGCGCCAAAGATACAATAGGAAAGAGACAGTCTATCAGTCACGTGAATTGTGATTGGCCTGTTGCAATGGAATAGCCTTTAACAAAAAAAATGAAAGCTATTTACCTTCTGAATGGATTTTACATATTTGCACAAAAGGGAAAAGAAATAAGAAGAGAGAAGGGAATAGAAAAGAAGAGAAAGGTTCTCACCAGCTCTTCCCCTCCAAAACTAGCATTGACATTGGTGAAGTCACACACAAAGGAAAGTCTCACTTTCTTTGTGCCTCTCACAATGACATCAACATGCATGGCTATGAGATGGCAAGAGAATACCTCACTCACAGTGAGTAACAAATTAGAATTTTCTTCAAAGTAAAAAAATGATAACACAAGACCATCATAGGTATATGCTAGCTCTTTCAAAACATCTCTTTTTGACTAGATGTCAGTTAAAATCACTTGACTGGCAATCTGTTCTATCTAATACAACACAGGGGGATATTCTGAATAGGCAGAAGAATGTCTACTATGCAACTTGGCTGGAACATCTGCCAAAATGAAGTTGGCTTTGTTTTGAACATGGTTATCTACTTCGAAATTACTCCATAGAATAAATAGTGATATTCCATGGGTAGAGGTAGATTATGGGGTTTAAATAATCAAATTGGAGCCCCGTAACTTTATGTGCTATAGGAGGATTCTCATAAAACTGAGATATTCCCATAATTAACCACTAGCCATGGGATACTATAATATATTCCATGGTGACTAGTATTTTTTCCGTTTCCCTCCCCCCTCCCAGTAGAATTAGTATGATTAATTTTGCTCTGGTTTTGCCTATTGCTAACATGAATCAGTATAATTAAAAATAAGAATACCATATTATGAGGCAATCACTGTTTAGGCCAAACCGGCCAGTAACGACCAGTCAGACCTTTTCCAGTTGGCCTTTGCTGCTAGAAGGTTGAAAGAGCTGTAACTCACCAACCCATACTTGCAAAAGGAGTATGTTTGAGAAAATGTGGTTCAAAACTCTTCATAGTTCTAAATGCTAAATTCTAGTGGAATATTATAGAATAGATTGATTTGCATGCCATGGAATAAACATCCTTACATCTAGTCTTGTCTCAGAGTGAGTCATTTTGCATTAGTGTCAAGAATTTGAGCTGTTGTTCTACTTTGCAGTTAATCATCAGAAAGAGACGGGATTGTCTCATGAATATGCATGATGGTATAGTTGTCCCTTCAACTTACTAGGCACCTAGTTTCTGTAATGAGATGTACAATATCTGCCATTTAAAACAGCTGAAAGGTCCCAAATGGGAACAAATGAGAAAGCATCTGGCTGTTTCAAATTCCAGCCCTGTTTTGTCAGAAAACTCTGTAATTGCTGAGTACTTGGCTCCTACTCTGCTCTACGAAGCATTCAGCTCTCAGGAGCCTCTGAGATGCATTACACAGTCCAGCAACATAGCTGTAGAACTCTCAAAATTCTTCCACTAGATGTAACAGCTCTTCAAAATATCTTGAGACTTGTAGGCCCTTAACCAGGACCAAAGTTTGGGCTCCTAGAGCGTGCTCTCATCCTTAGTTTTGCTGATCAGCCTCCACTGTACCATTTGTCCCTGCAACCTAGACTTCACACATATTATTCACTGTGTGATGGTGGGACTAGAATGGATAAATGTGCTACCCATTGCTCTAAGAAAGCAGTCTGGCTGAATCTTAAATCACTACGCGGGATGGAGGTTAACGGTCAGATGGACATTCCTCTAAGAGGTTTCCTACCTGCTCTGTTAATTTCTAAAATTTCTTCTTGGGCCAGTGGGCAAGTGTCGCTCTGAGTACTGTGGTGTGGAGAGTTTACGACAGATTTACAATAATTGGGGGATCCCAGCTGGGGTGGCCTCGGGATATGCTTCTTTTTTTTCTTTGGTAGCTTCTGCTTAGCCATAGCTAAGGAGTAATACATTCCGAAATTGTTCACAATGACAGGGACAGGCATGGCAATGGTCAGTACACCAGCGAGAGCACAGAGGGCCCCCACCAGCATGCCTGACCAAGTCTGAGGATACATGTCTCCGTAGCCCAGGGTTGTCATGGTGACAACAGCCCACCAAAAGCCGATGGGGATATTTTTAAAGTGTGTGTGTTCACTGGCACTAGGGTCATTTGGTTTAGCACCTATTCTCTCGGCATAATAGATCATCGTGGCAAAGATTAAGACGCCCAATGCCAAAAATATGATGAGCAGCAAGAATTCGTTTGTGCTGGCGCGGAGGGTGTGTCCCAAGACCCGCAACCCAACGAAGTGGCGGGTCAGCTTGAAAATTCGCAGGATTCGCACGAAACGGACTACGCGGAGGAAGCCCAGGACATCCTTAGCAGCTTTGGAAGACAGGCCACTGAGTCCAACCTCTAGATAGAAAGGCAGTATGGCCACAAAGTCAATGATGTTCAAAGAGTTTTTGATAAATTCCACCTTGTTTGGGCAGAAAGTGACTCTCATCAAGAACTCAAATGTAAACCAGACCACACAGACACCTTCGATGTAGGTGAGAAAGGCTTCAGTCTCTGCTTCCCTGTAGTGCCGCACCTGGGTGTCATTCCCGATGAATTCAGTTTCTGTCTTGTTCACAATGGGGTTAAATCTCTCATGGGTCTCGAGGCAGAAGGTGGTGATGGAGACCAGAATGAAGAAGAGAGAGGCAAATGCCACATACTGTGGAAAGAAAGATATGAGAGAAAGGTTAAACAGCAGGTTAAGTACAGGCGCTTTGATTCTGAAACACCAGGGAGAGACAAGAGCTGTATTAAAACTAAAGACAATGCCAAGCCTTCTTCCTGTGGGCTTAAGATGCCAAGTCTCACCTGCAAAGACAGCCTAACATTCAAACTTGGACGGAGATCAGTATATAAGTACGTGCTAACATTCATTCCTATACAGATAGCGTTTTGGCGTTGAGTGTAAATTTAAGCAAGCATTTAAATCTTAGAGCTTTCTGTGAGATTTAAGGTTAAGGACATATTTAAATTCTACCTTTCTGAACTTGGTCTTCTGTTACTTCCTGGTCTTAAAGACAGAGCACACCTTCTAGGATAATTGTCACGCAAGAGTCTTTTTGCAGCATTGTGTCAGTGGTATGGTGGTTGCCTCCTGCTCCCAGCTTAGTGACGGTTGTGGTATTTCAGATCTCAGTCAGGTGCTAGTAAATACTAGTGGCGGTCTCAGGTGGGCTCTACAGCAAGGAGCAGAGTCCTGCTTGGCATCATCAGACTTTCTTGCCAAATCCCAGGGACAGCTTGAAGAACCGTCACATATCAAACCGAGCTCTCCTAGAGTAAACATCTCTGTTCTCAGTTCCCTTCTCCAGATCTTTTGGGGGTGGGGGACAGGGAGGGGAAGAAAGAGGTTTCAGGTAAGCCTGTCAGCTGATCCAAAAGGAGACAGATCTATTGGATTTTACCAGACAATGTTTTCTTGAAGAGATTCTCATTAAAATGTAAGACTTGTACCAGAACTAGATGAATCTTTTTTAAGGTTTTGGATTACGATTTGGTTAATCAAGTTACAGTGAAGGTGGTAGCAGCCCCCAAAGTCAATGAGTGTTTACCTTGGGAGTATTTCCCTCTTCTGCCTCAGCTCCTGCTTTTCACAGAATCATAGAATGGTTTGGGTTGGAAGGGACCTTTAAAGGTCATCTAGTCCAACCCCCCTGCAATGAGCAGGGACATCTTCAACTACATCGGTTTGCTCGGAGCCTCATCCAGCCTGGCCTTGAATGTTTCCAGGGATGGGGCATCTACCGCCTCTCTGGGCAAACTGTTCCAGTGTTTCACCACCTCATCATAAAACATTTCTTCCTTATACCTAGTCTGAATCTACCCTCTTTTAGTTTAAAACCATTACCCCTTGTCCTATTGCAACAGGCCCTACTAAAAAGTCTGTCCCCATCTTTCTTATAAGCCCCCTTTAAGTACTGAAAGGCCACAGTAACGTCTCCCCAGAGCCTTCTCTTCTCCAGGCTGAACAACTGCAGCTCGCTCAGCTTTTCTCAGGCTTTCCTCAGCCTAAAGGAGATCTCTTGGTTGTATTCCAGGATAATTGAGGGGTACAGTCAGGCCAAAATTCACAACTCTTGTAACCATAATTCCTCTGCTCAATCCTCCTTTAATCAATTAAGTAGTTTGCCTATATCTAAGAAGTCTCTTTGTGGGCTGGAGTGGTACAGTAATGGTAATACCTCTTTCCATTTCACTCCCTACAGCTGTAATCTTCCTGTTTGTCTTGTGTGTCACCTTGACAAGAGACGTCACATAAGATATTACTTCACTGTCTTCATGAGCATGAGCAACTGTGGTAATTAAAATATTATTCAAATATTCTAATAGTGTCCTGTAATTCACAATGTCCCTTTTTCAGCAGTGTAGCCAAAATAGGGGTTAAAAAGAACTCGTTTCTTCTAATTGTCTGTTGTCAGTAAAGGCAGTGCAATAATCTAAAAGAAACTGCTACCAAAGGAATAGACCAGTTAAAAATAATCTATGCTTCAAGCTACCAACGCTCTCCTGCAATCAAGAATTTCCTCCTGTCTGCTTTCCTGGGTAGACCTAGTGCAGAATTAGGCTTGACCTTCTGTATTAGCAAACAAAGTCAAAAGCAAGGATTTGCCACAGTTTGAGGTGAACCATATAATAGAATACAGAGAAACTGGCAGAGAATAAAATCACAGAATCATTTAGGTTGGAAGGGCCCTCTGAAGGTTGCTTGGTACAACATCAAAGTTGGACCAGGTTGCTCAGGGTCTTGCCCGGTCCAGGTCTGAACATCGCCAAGATTGGAGATCCACAGCCTCTCTGGGCAGCCTGTGCCAGTGTTTGGCCAGTAAGAGCAAATAAGCTTGGAAGGATACAGAAGCAAACAGGCTCTTCTGTTTTTCAAATCCAACTTTGTTGCCAAAGAGATCAGAACCTAGCCATTGTCACAGATTTTTAAAAAACCCAGTTACCTTCCCCTAAATGCTTCAGGCTACCATAGCATTGTTTTGTGATGATGTAATATACGTGCTGGTGTGTGCTAAAATCAGTGTCTAATATAAATAGTTGTCTGGAAGATAAACAATCTGGAGGTTAGGGAAATCGAAAAGCAGGACTGCGGGTATCTTTTTATCAGATTCTCCTATTAAACAGGGAAATTCTCCTGTTAAACAGGGAAATTTCTCCATGCACAGTTTCTTCATCTGTAAAATAGGTTAAAAAAAAACTAGCTGGTGTTTGTCATGTGCTTCGTAATCCTAGATAAATGTGTAGAGGTTCTATATGCTTTCATTTTAATATTACTATTAATATTTAATATTTTAATTTTAATGTTCCATTTTAATATTAATATTTATTATTTAATATTAAAATTGTATATCAACAGTCCCTCTGAAAAAAGAGTTGAAGAGTCTCTTAAGTGGTCAAAGCCAGTTTGTGTAAGATATTGTTAACACTCAGAGCTTAATTAAGTAGAGGTTAATATCCCAGTTGTCTGAGTATGAGTAAAATGAGAAACAAAAAGTATTTTGCACCAAGAACTCAGGAAAATATTTCTAGTAGCCTCAGCATGCCTGCTCTGTTTTAGCCTGGAGCAGATTTTTACCATAGAGTTGTAGAGCCCTGAGAATTCAAGCTGCAGAAGGAAATGCTGACACTTCGTTAAGTCAGGTAGCACTCACAAATAAGAAGCAGAGAGGGGAATAAAACCATTTTGCATATTAAGGGGTCTGTGAAGAAGGCCCCTTTCTTTATGCTGACTCAAAATGCAATTCTCCTCTTGGTATATACGAATCTCTCTCCTGAGTGAGTTTTTCCTGCTTAGGACAACCTTCAGGCTGACCTTGCACAGCAAGTATCTTGAAAAGTGATGTTTTGCTGTATTAAAGGGAAGAAGTAACCAATTCTGACAGGACATTTAAGTTCTCTGCAGTGGTACATGCTAGCACTGTTACCAGTAGAGAACATCACATACCATGATCCCAAGCACACCTTGGCTTCAGAGGGGAATTGAGAACCTTTAGTCACCAGTTCAGCAGAGCAGGAAGCACCTGCTAAATGAATGAGAAGCGTTTGCTTCCTTCTATCTGTATTTAACAATATCCAGAACCCTTTCCCAGGGATGGGCATGTTTTTGAATGCTTTGCACCTTTGGAAGTGTGGGTCTGCTTTCAAGATTTCATAAAACCATGTCTGAGCAATGGTATTGACAGGAGGAATCCCAGTATTTCTTCTTCAATTTTTTTTTTCTCTGTTGAATTACTAGTTAATCCTAAACCTATTTTATATTTGGGAAGTAAAAATGCTCCTTAGTCATTCCATGCTTCAATATTGAAAGGCCCTTGTTTTTTGTTTTAGAAGAAAGTCTGCACAGACTGAAAGGAGAAGACAATGGAGAGCAGCCTTTTAATAAAGGCCCCATTACAGTTCCCCAGTCCCTTGGCTGATCCAAAGAAGTGCAGAAATGCCTGAGAATCAGACCTGACAATTCATTTACTGGCACTCATCTCTGGTAGATTTATCACCTGCAGCTGCCTGGGATGCAGAAATTTAGCAGCTTGCCACAAATGAATGTGTACTGTGTCACTGGCATAGATTTATGTTTGTGATCACCAATTTATATTACCCCCACCCCTTTTTTCTTCTGAATATTTTTCTTTGTTAATTATCTGATATAAGATGTAGCAAGCTGTAAGCAAAATCCAATAGCACCAAATTCAGCAAGTATGTTTTTCTAAGGGGAGCAGCTCATTCATGCCAAAGGGGTTGAAAAAAGAGCTCTCTCTGGCCCACCATCAGAGGCCAACAGAGATCAGCCATCATGCCTAACATGATAGCTTGTCAAGTCCAGAGATGAGCAATGCTCGTAAAATCTAGTGAAGACTATGAGACTCTTACATGTTCTAACGTCTGAAAATAAGGCTATCTCTTTTTATTTCACTAATAATGGCCTGAACACTAATCAAACCAATGGATTGCTTTTGTATTATTTAGTGGTTCTTAATCTTCTTTCTCCTTACATTTTACAACAGAATTTCTCTTCTTCCTAGGATCTGAATGGGCTGGGGGAAAGGAGTGAGGATTTTGTGAAGTGATGTCACATGCTGTTGAGTTACATAATGGCAGCTAAAATTTTCTATAATTAAAGAAAATACCTAGGTAAAGTGTTTGAAGTGATCAAAACTCTTTTATCTGCTTTGACACATGTGAATGATTCCTATTTCACTAGAGATGCTGCTGCCATTGCTTTTTTCTGGCTCTAATACCAACAAAGAAAAATCTCAGATTGTCCAAAATGGCAGAAGCCATAAGACACGGCAGAGAGGAGATTTTAAAAGAGGATATTTTGATTAAAACATAAGTTACGTTAAAATGTCTTTATTCTGGAGAGAGAAGAAATTACACTCCTGCATAATTTCTGTTAATAGCGGATATACTTTAATAAGGTTACTTTGAAAGAGTCTAAAAGACGTCATGCCCATAAGTGGAGAATTTAATAATCTAATTTATATTGCCTCTGATTAAATCTATCTATCTACCTACCTACCTATCTATCTGTCTCTGTCTCTCAAAGGCCTGCTTCTCCCTGCTTCTCCACTGCCCTGTATCTAACCTAGCCATTTTTGCCAGTGCAGTGTGAACATGAAGTGCCAGTTAATTCAGAATAGTAGTGTTTCACATCAGCTT